TACAGAGCAGCTTACATACAATCAATTAAAACAAGGCAGTCCCTGACCAAAACTTACAATCTTAAAAAACAATGACACACACAAGGTAAGAGGGATAGGGAGGGACAATGCCTGTTTGTTTTTAAATCAAACTCAGGCACCAATTCTCAAATAGTTGTTTCTATAATGACCAGCTGGCACAGTTCTGGCATAGGAGGTGCCTGATGGAGCTGGGCTTTTGGCAAAGCAGATGGAATTAGCTCTGGTTTTTATCTCTTCCACTGAGGGAGTCTTATGGAATGGTCCCTCCCTGGTGACACTTGAGGGAGAGGAGGCCTGATGGTCTGTCACAGCAGAGCTGATGGAGTGAGCTCTGCTTCTCACCTCTCCCACTGTAAATTAACTCCACCAGCCACATTCCGGTTAAACTTTAGTTCAGAAATGTGTTCATAAAATGTGTAGTCCTTATTATCCTGAAAGCCTTCTGTGATTTGCAGAGCAAGGGCAGGCAACAGCAATACATTTCCCCCTCTTCACATCTTACCTTCCTGGTTCAGATGCATGCTGGTGACACTTCACTCTAAAACTCCTGAACTTCCCAATGGCTTCATAGAGATGCTAAATAGTATGGGTGAGAAGATGGAACCATGCAGGACACTGCAACTTCCATGGCACTGAACAATAGCCTCCCATATCTACTTTCTGGAAACAACTCTAGCAGTAGTAGTGAAACCACTTTAGTATAGTACAACAAAGTACTGTGCAATAGGTCCAGAATTAGGCATATGAGAATAGGCCCAGTGAAATCAATGGGGCTTAAATTAGAATACACTAATTGAAATTCATGGAAGCGAAAGGAAAGTCCAATGCTGTAAAGAAAAATATTGCATAGGAACCTGGAATGTAAGAACCATGAACCTGGGTAAGTTGGATGTGGTCAAAAATGAGATGGCAAGAATAAATATTGACATCTTGGGCATCAGTGAACTAAAATGGACGGGAATGGGCGAATTCAGTTTGGATGACTATCATATCTACTACTGTGGACAAGAAACCCGTAAAAGAAATGGAGTGGCCCTCATAGTCAACAAAAGAGTGGTGAAAGCTGTACTGGGATGCAATCTCAAAAATGATAGAATGATCTCGATACGAATCCAAGGCAGACCTTTTAACATCACAGTAATCCAAGTTTATGCACCAACTACTGGTGCTGAAGAAACTGAAATTGACCAATTCTATGAAGACTTACAAGACCTTATAGAAATGACACCAAAGAAGGATGTTCTGCTCATAATAGGGGATTGGAATGCTAAAGTAGGGAATCAAGAGATAAAAGGAACAACTGGCAAGTTTGGCCTTGGAGTTCAAAACGAAGCAGGGCAAAGGCTAATAGAGTTCTGTCAAGAGAACAAGCTGGTCATCACAAACACGCTTTTCCAACAACACAAGAGACGACTCTACACATGGACATCACCAGATGGGCAGCATCGAAATCAGATTGATTATATTCTCTGCAGCCAAAGATGGAGAAGCTCTATACAGTCAGCAAAAACAAGACCTGGAGCTGACTGTGGCTCAGATCATCAGCTTCTTATAGCAAAATTCAAGCTTAAACTGAAGAAAGTAGGAAAAACCACTGGGCCGGTAAGATACAATCTAAGTCAAATCCCTTATGAATACACAGTGGAAGTGAGGAACAGGTTTAAGGATTTAGATTTGGTGGACAGAGTGCCTGAAGAACTATGGATGGAGGCTCGTAACATTATACAAGAGGCAGCAACTAAAACCATCCCAATGAAAAGGAAATGCAAGAAAGCAAAGTGGCTGTCCAACGAGGCCTTACAAATAGCGGGGGAGAGAAGGCAAGCAAAATGCGAGGGAGATAGTGAAAGATACAGGAAATTGAATGCAGATTTCCAAAAAATAGCAAGGAGAGACAAGAAGGCCTTCTTAAACGAGCAATGCAAAGAAATAGAGGAAAACAATAGAATGGGAAGAACCAGAGATCTGTTCAAGAAAATTGGAGATATGAAAGGAACATTTTGTACAAAGATTTCCATAATAAAAGACAAAAGTGGAAAGGACCTAACAGAAGCAGAAGACATCAAGAAGAGGTGGCAAGAATACACAGAGGAACTATACCAGAAAGAAATTGATGTCTCGTATACCCCAGGTAGTGTGGTTGCTGACCTTGAGCCAGACATCCTGGAAAGTGAAGTCAAATGGGCCTTAGAAAGCATCGCTAATAACAAGGCCTTAGAAAGCATCGCTAATAACAAGGCTAATCTACAAGGCAGGCTTAAGCAGTATGTGGACCGAGAACTCCCAGAAGTGCAAGCTGGATTTAGAAGAGGCAGAGGAACCAGAGACCAAATTGCAAACATGCGCTGGATTATAGAGAAAGCTAGAGAGTTCCAGAAAGACATCTACTTCTGCTTCATTGACTATGCAAAAGCCTTTGACTGTGTCGACCACAGCAAACTATGGCAAGTTCTTAAAGAAATGGGAGTGCCTGATCACCTCATCTGTCTCCTGAGAAATCTCTATGTGGGACAAGAAGCTACAGTTAGAACTGGATATGGAACAACTGATTGGTTCAAAATTGGGAAAGGAGTACGACAAGGCTGTATATTGTCCCCCTGCTTATTTAACTTATATGCAGAATTCATCATGCGAAAGGCTGGGCTGGATGAATCCCAAGCCGGAATTAAGATCGCCGGAAGAAATATCAACAACCTCAGATATGCAGATGACACAACCTTGATGGCAGAAAGTGAGGAGGAATTAAAGAACCTTTTAATGAGGGTGAAAGAGGAGAGCGCAAAATATGGTCTGAAGCTCAACATCAAAAAAACGAAGATCATGGCCACTGGTCCCATCACCTCCTGGCAAATAGAAGGGGAAGAAATGGAGGCAGTGAGAGATTTTATTTTCTTGGGCTCCATGATCACTGCAGATGGTGACAGCAGCCACGAAATTAAAAGACGCCTGCTCCTTGGGAGAAAGGCGATGGCAAATCTAGACAACATCTTAAAAAGTAGAGCCATCACCTTACCAACAAAGGTCCGTATAGTTAAAGCCATGGTTTTCCCAGTAGTGATGTATGGAAGTGAGAGCTGGACCATAAAGAAGGCTGATCGCCGAAGAATTGATGCTTTTGAATTATGGTGCTGGAGGAGACTCTTGAGAGTCCCATGGACTGCAAGAAGATCAAACGCATCCATTCTTAAGGAAATCAGACCTGAGTGCTCACTGGAAGGACAGATCGTGAAGTTGAGGCTCCAATACTTTGGCCACCTCATGAGAAGAGAAGACTCCCTGGAAAAGACCCTGATGTTGGGAAAGATGGAGGGCACAAGGAGAAGGGGACGACAGAGGATGAGATGGTTGGATAGTGTTCTCGAAGCTACAAACATGAGTCTAACCAAACTGCGGGAGGCGGTGGAAGACAGGAGTGCCTGGCGTGCTCTGGTCCATGGGGTCACGAAGAGTCGGACACGACTAAACGACTAAACAACAACAAATTGAAATTGTAACTAAGCATGACTAAGTCTGAATCCTTCTGGTTATTTTGAGGTGTAAGAGAGTAGCCAAAATAAATGCTCTGAAAATACATTGGGATTGTTTGTTTTTGCAACTCTTGAGTATGTATCCAAAAGCAGTTCTTTGAGCCTTGCTATGAATATTGCTTCCAGCCTATTGAAACAAAAAATGGCATCTCTAATTCTATCATTCCCTTTTCCTCCTCCTATAGGAACCTTAAGTACACCAGCAAGTTCTGTTATGCATGTCCCATTGAACCAGCAAGGGAAACCTTCTCCTTCTCCTCTTTGCACTCCACCGACATCTGTTTTAGGTCTTCCCCAACCCTTCAGAGCAGATTTGGGAAGAAGATGGGGGAGTGCAGGGAGGTAGAAGGGAGATTCTACATCATTGCACTCCAACTTGCAAAACAGATACATTTCAAATTAAGGTTCCTTTGTTTGTTCTAAATATTGACCAAAATTAAGCAACAGCATGAACAATTGAGCCAAAATCCTATGCTTGATTTGGAATGGTAATTTCAAAGCATGGAATCCTCACACCTGTGTTTTAAGTTAACATAAATGTTTATGTGTGTGGTGGTGGGGACACAGGTGAGAATACATACATGTCTCCCTCCTGGTCAGTTTAAAGGAGAGTAATGAATTTGCAATGGTGCAACTCGTATCTCCAAGGACATTTTCAGAGATTGGGTGACTTTTGCTTGGCCACATGGGAGCTTTCCTGCAGGGTCTTGCAGGGTCCAGTCTTGTTAAACATGCTATTTAACATCTATATGAAACTACAGTGGTACCTCTGGTTACGTACTTAATCCGTTCCGGAGGTCTGTTCTTAACCTGAAGCTGTTCTTAACCTGAAGCACCACTTTAGCCAATGGGGTCTCCCACTGCCGCTGTGCTGCTGGTGAACGATTTCTGTTCTCATCCTGAAGCAAAGTTCTTAACCCGAGGTAATATTTCTGGGTTAGCGGAGTCTGTAACCTAAAGCGTCTGTAACCCGAGGCATCATTGTACTCGGACCAGTCATCAGGGGATTTGGAGTGAGGTCTCACCAGCATCCAGCTCTATCTCTGTTTCAGTGAAATGGGCTGGATGTTTGCCAACAAACTAAATCCTGACAATATGGAAGTGCCGTAAGTGGATTTCCAGAAGTTGACAGAACTATCTGTTCTTAATAGGGTTTCACTCACCTTCAAGGACCAGTTGCATAATTTGGGGTTGTTCCTGGAACTATCTTTGCCCAGGTGGCCTCAGTGGCTAGGAGCAACTATGCAGAGTTTCACCTGGTGCAAGCTATGGTCATTTTTGGACAGGGATCGTTTGACCATGGTTATTCATGCTCTGGTAACCTCCAGGCTGGACTAGGGCTACCCTTGAAGATGGTCTGGAAATTGCTGAAGCAAAAATGCTGCTAGGGACAGCAGGTCATGAACATATTACTCATCTTAGTGAATACACTGGTTGCCAATTGTCTTCTAGGTCCAGTTCAAGATGCTAAACAGCTTGGGTCCCAGCAAGAGCACCTTCTTCCATATCAACCGGTCTGTGCTCTAAGATCAGCAGATATGGCCTCCCTGGTGGATCCTCTTTAGTATGAGGTACATGGTGGTGGGTGGGGGGCAGGAAGGAAATTTTTCAATAGCAGCTCCTCATACATGGAATTTTCTTCCTTCTGAGGTGTATCTGGCCCTCTCTACATTTTTTTTGTGGTTACTTAAGATCTTTTTTAAAAGACATTTGGAGAAGAGACTGGATTGCTGCTGCTGATTCTGTTAGTAACTGTTCTGTGGTTTGTTGCCTTTTAAAGGATCATGTTATTATCTGTTTGCTTTGTTGTAAACTACCCTGTGGCAGTATATAAATCATCTATATAAATAAATGTAGCTTTAGCCTTTAAAATTTAATTATGAGCACACTTTTGCATGACATCTTTCAGTCAGTAATGTAATTCATAAACTGATTTATTCAGAGAAGCCCAAGCAATGTTATGCCTGCAATACAGGTTCCTGTAAGTTGGGTTCTGTTCCTTGCAAGCACTCTGGTAAAGAAGATAGTTGCTCACTAGATGCATGCGCTGGGGAATTAACAGGGTCACTGCACACAATATTAATACAGTTATTTCTAGCAAAGCATTGCATCCTCAGCAGGCAGTGACCAGAGGTGGCAGGAAATAACTGGATAGTGAGTGCTGTTTGGGAATACTTGTACTTTTGTATGGTTTACGAATAACAGGTTTATTACCAAGTCCCCAATTTAATTCCTAAAGTTCTGATCTACCAACAAGTACCAATAAAGTAAAAAGGGTGGGAAGTTAACATGATTACGTAACAGAACCTCCCCGTCCCCCAAATTCACATTTTAATCCACATTTAATTTGCATCGCAGAGCAGAAACAAATGATCAAGGATTCATTTGCTGCAGCTTTTGCTGGGAGATAGCATTTTATTCAGTGCTGATGGGAGATTCCATGTTTATCACCCCGCAATACCCCCTCACCCCACAAAATTGGTATATCTTTGGCAAGACTCCTTTTCCCTAGCATATATAGTTTCTGCATGTGTGCATATTTATACATCTCTCTCTCTCTCTCTCTCTCTCTCTCTGGGTAAATTTCCTCCCACTCCAAAATAATTCAGTTCAGCAAAAATGCACCATATGATTGCTAATAATTTGCTTCTGTTCAAACCTGGGTAAGACCTACTCCCTTTCCAAGGCTCTTCTGAATAAAATTCATTAGACTTTCTCAGTAGTTCCCAGACTTTCCCGCTCCCCAGGCCACTTGAAAATTGCGGTGGTTCTTGGCAGACTACTTAATGATTTTTCTGCCCATTGTAGCAATTATAATGCAATGTGCTAGATGCTGATGATTCTTAATTGTTATTTTATTGCTTTTTTATTTCTTCATATATTGTGTTTTATTGTATTACAATCTAAATTCCATAGAATACAATAAAATAGAAGGTAAGAAATAAAAGAAGCGATAAAATACAATTCAAAAATCAGTATAAATCTTTAATGAGATGGATGGGCCATCTCCTGTCTTCAACAACAAATTCACAGACACACCCTGGACCATCTGAATGAAGCTTGTGGACCTGTTTAGAACCCCTGCTGTAGCTATATGTTGTGTGGGTGGGGAAAGGGACCTGCAGACACACACTCCAGCAGGAACAATAAACTTTCTCTATTACTTTCACTTCTTGTTTTCCTAACATTTACATATCAAAACGACTACTATAATAGAATCCTAGAATTGTAGAGTTGGAAGGGTCCCCAAAGGTCATCTAGTTCAACCCCCTACAATGCAGAGATCTCAACTAAAGCATCCATGACAGATGACCATCCAACTTCTGCTTAAAAACTTCCAAGGAACGAGAGTCCACAACCTCCCGAGGGAGTCCATTCCACTTTCTAACAGTTCTTACTGTCAGAAAGTTCTTCCTGGTGTTTAGTTAGAATCTCCTTTCTTGCAACAAAGCCATTGGTACAGGTCCTACCCTCCAGAGCAGAAAGCAAGCTTGCTGCATCTTCCATGTGACAGCCCTTTAGATATTTGAAGATGGTTATATCTCCCTCTCAGTCTCCTCTTATCCAGATTAAACATACCCAACTCCCTCAGCTGTTCCTCATAAGGCTTAGTTTCCAGATCCTTTAGAGTCAAAGTCAAAGAATTGGAAGGGATCCCAAGGGTCAATCTAGTCCAAACACCTGCAATGCAGGAATCTTTTGCCCTACATGGAGCTCAAAGCCACAAGATTAAGAGACTCATGCTCTACTGACTGGGCTATCCTAATCGTATCCCTCGTGTCCAGTTGTTGTGTGATTTCTTTGTTTCTTCTGGACCTTGGTTTTGAGAGGTCAAATGATTTTGTTTTCTCTGTCTTTTCTCTGAAGGCAGAAAAGTAATGCAAATCCATCACAGGCCCAAAATGTACAGGATGTCAAACCATTTTAATTGTTTTTCTTTTCAATAATGTTTTTCCATATAACAATACAACAACAGAAATACGGTAGATGGAATAAATTTCTCTTTTCCTTAAAGGGCACATATTTCCATGTGACGCATGGTATTCTTTTCTTAGCCACTTCTCATACTCTTACTTCTACAGTACTGCTCTCAGTACATAGTGGGGTAAGCTGTTACACAGGTTCTATATCCTTACACAACATGGCTATGACTTCTCCATTAAACACTTAACCCACCAGAAAGCAACACTGTTTAAGGGAGAGGGGTTAAGAACTGCTTCATAGCTGCAGCATTAAAAGAATTAACTATGGAATGGACAGCTATTATCAAGGCATTTTTTAAGCGACCAAAGCAGCGACTAAGCTGTCAGACATGGCTGAAATGGCAAATATGGCTATAAACATGGGGTTGAAATACCAATCAAGTCTATCGGGGGGAAAGCGGAAAACATGAAGGATTTAAAAAACAGGAATCCCAATTTGGATATTAGAATCTATAGCATCTCAGAATTAGAAAGCAAGAGAGAATGATAGTCTTAACAACACAGTGGTTTACATAGCTTCTTCGAGACCCACCTTCTTTTGAGCCTTATTTTGAGAGCACACCTAAATGCCACAGCAATTAAAAATTGCAAAGTCCTGAGATGTGTTGTCAGATTTCCACTGTACTCCCTTACAGAAAAGATATATCAAGATCTCCACAACTTTCACTCTCTTGCATACAAAGGAGAATAAGTGCAGGTGTTTCAGGACCTTTATGCTAAAACACTAAGATTCCACATAAAGTGCTTAAACTGTATACAAAGCAGCCCAGGCTGGTGTAGACTGTATACAGATGTGTGTTTCTGAATACTGTTGTACTTCTGTAAGATACGTTCTGTATTACAAATCATAAGGAAAAATGCTCTCTGGGCTTGTTTTTTTGTTTTTATTTGTAATTTGTATTGTGGATTTTACAACTTTCAAAAATGGTTTCAAAAAAAGGTACAGATCATTTGAGCACATCATCATTCCTAACACTACTTTAGGAAATACATTTTACTAATGTCTGACGATTTATGTTAACAATGGACCCAAAGCATACATTGATTTTTCACTACTCTATCTAGGCTTCTAACTTTATTGACTCAAGTACCGAACGTGCTTCTTTATATTCTTCAGCTTCTTCCAACTCTTTTTCATTTTCCTGAAATTAAACAAAGCACACTTTTCACTATTTTAAAAATTATTAAAGCTTAAAACTATTTGTTTGCATTGATATGCATCATGAGCTTTAGCACTTTAGTTCCCAACATATAGGGTGATATTCAATGTTAGTCATACACAGACTGAGTGCATGGAATTCAGTGGGTCTATTCTGAGTAACACTGGATATTACTCAGTATCCAGTTTGGATTGCAATGAGCCCAGCTTTCTGCAGAGCCCACAATTGGAAGTATTCCAGATAATCAAGTGAAGAATCCTAGTGAATGAATTCCAAACCCTTTGCAGTACAGCCAATAAAACCTGTTCCCCATTGGGGTTGGGAATTCCACTCTTGTTTACGATTCTCACCTATGCAGAACTCTTTCCCTGGCGATGTAACATCTTACCATCTGCAGTTTTGCAAGATAGATTCTCAAAAATCCCATACTCTGAAAGATAGTGTCCTTGTGGCACAAAACAGGTTGAATCCATCACACACATTTTATTTTACTGCCCATTTAATGCAAAAATATATGATAAGTATTTGGCTCCCTTACTGAAGGAAAGGATTTACTGCACTGACTCTTCCAGGGTGTCTTATCTGCTGAACAATTGTAGTAATGATGTTGTGGAGAATGTGGCAAGATTTTTGAGTGACACTATGAAATTATGTCACCATAGGTCCCAAGAGCCATTTTCGTACCTCACTGGACAGTTTTATCCTAAAGTATCTCTTACTATGTTTTGTTAACTGTGTTGTATTCTGATCCATGTATACAATGCACTTTTTCTATGCCAATAAAGATTGATTGATAGATACTCAATATCAGCAGCAGAACATGACATAATACCCAGTTTATTAGGTTAAATTGACAGTCATATGATAGTGAATTGGTAAAGGGTGATATAGTAATGAGCTATGGTGCTTACTTCTCACTGCATAGGCCCAATTTTGAAAACACACTGACCTTTAATAAATGATTTTTGGCCCACTGAAATCCATTCCTTAGCTTTTAATCATAAATCCACACAATCTTGCAAAGAAGTGTTCCCATTTAAAGTGCTAGCATGAATCCCAAAGGAAAGAAGTACTCAGCCCCTGCTTGATTAGCATAGAAAAGTCAAAACATGGATAATCAGTCACAAACAATAGTAAAATCTGAAAGCTTTGTTATCACATTCATTGCCAGAGCAAGGAAGATGTTTCTATTGCCCTGGTGCTCCAGCAGATGACAATCTCTTCAGCAGATGCCAATACTGTCCCCCTCCTGAGGGGGATAGAGACAATATTACATATGACAGGGGAATACCTGGTACTGGGATAATAGCTTCATGGATGCACAGAAAGCTGAGGCGGTGCTAAAAAAAAGCATGCTAAAGAGCAAAAAACTACAAGGAGGAATCAAATGGAGGGAATAATGCATTGTTTCAGTTGTCTCTATACTAATGCACGGAGTATGGAAAACAAGCAAGTTGAATTTGAGCTCTTAATACAGGTTGGCAAATATTATCTAAAAGGCATTATGGAAACATGGTGGGGTGACTGGAATATATAAATTGAGGGTCTATTCAAAAGGAATAGCTCAAACAGGAAGGAAGGAGGAGCAGCATTAAATGTAATGGATGCGTACACTTGTGAAGAGATCCATGACTTGAGCATGGAGGGATGATTTGACAGTATATGTAGGAGAGGGAAACAACAGTAACCTTACTGTGGGTGTCTGCTATAGACCTCCAAGCCAGACTAAAGACTTGGATGATGCTTTCCTAGAGCAGATTACCAAACAGTAAAAAAGGAGAGATGCAGTAGTTGTGTGAGACTTAAATTACCTATATTTGTATTGTATCACAATTTCAAGTATTTTTCCCCTTTTATTTTTCTATTTTTTTCTGTTCATTTACTTTATTTTCTCACTGAATTTTTTCAATAAAATATAAATATTTAGGCTTGCAAGAGAGGTTTATTTGGCTACATTCAAAGCAAGGGGAACACCATAGAAATAATAGGAGAAGATGTGTGGAGAAGATGAAAGAAATGCTGTTGGGTGACAGAAAGAAGGCAGAACTGCTCAATTCCTACTTTACCTATGTTTTCGTCCAGGAGGAAAGCAACCCAGCCTGGTGATACCAGAATAAATGATGCAAGGAGGGAGCTGCAGCCCAAGATAGGTAATGGGACACCTAGCTACTTTGAATGAATAAATATGCAGGGTCTGATGAGCTGTGCTCAAAGGTACTAAAGGAGTTTGCCTCTGTCTATAATTTTAGAGAATTCTTTGGGAACAGGTGAGGTCCCTGCAGACTGGAAACAGGCAAATGTTGTCCCCCATCTTCAAGAAGGGGGAAAAAGACCGGTCAGCTTGTCTTCAACACCAGGAAAGGTCCTAGAACAGATAATTCAACAGCTGGTCTGTGAACACTTAGAAAAGGATGCCATGATTACAAAGACCCAGCATGGGTTTCTCAAAAAAAAAAAAGACCCACTGTTGTTCAATGTCTTTCGAAATGACTTGGATAAAGGAATTAAGGGGATGCTCATCAAATCTGCAGATGACACTAAACTACAAGGGATAGCTAATGCCGTAGAAGACAGAATCAGGATTTTAAAAGACCTTAACAGATTGGAGAACTGAACCCAAACAAACAAAATGAATTTCAATAGAAACAAATGTAAGGTTCTACACTTAGGCAGGATGAACCAGCTGCAGCGTAAGATGGGGGACACCTGGCTTGCCCATAGCACATGTAAAAAGGAGACCACAAGTTTAACATGAATCAACAGTGTGATGCGGTAGCAAAAAAAGCTAATGCTATTCTAGGCTGCATCAACAGAAGAATAGTGTCCCAATCAAGATAAGTCATAGTACCGCTCTGTTCTGCCTTGATCAGATAAGTATAAATGTAATGGATGTAGAATATAAAATCTACATGAAACAGCTGGGAAGGTTAACCAGGAATTTGGAGTGCATTGCCACTAAAATGCAAATGATACTGAACTCCATTTCACTTTTCCATTCAATTCCAAGGAGGTGAAGTTTTGGGAGGCATATAGAAAAGCAACCAAGTAGAAAACCTTCAAAAACAATGTTAGTATGCGTACAAGTGATTCTAATAGCCTAACTTTGGAGCAATCAGTTCAATCAATGCTTAAGATAATGATTGCTACTCCAAATATTTCTATGGTGGTGTTGTTTTTAGGGGCAAACTAAATCACCTATTTCAAAAAACAGTATGTAATGTGCATTTTTCTTTGGCAGTATTGTGATAGTAAGTACCTGGATTCAACAAAAATGTTGACACCAGTACAGACCTAACATAGCTCTTCAATTTATCATGATATTTAGTTTTAAAGCCCCCTGGCAATTTGCCACAAATCTTAAAGGTAAAGGTAAAGGGACCCCTGACCATTAGGTCAAGTCATGACCGACTCTGGGGTTGTGGCGCTCATCTCGCTTTATTGGCCGAGGGAGCCAGCATACGGCTTCCAGGTCATGTGGCCAGGATGACTAAGCCGCTTCTGGCAAACCAGAGCAGCGCATGGAAACGCCGTTTACCTTCCCACCAGAGCGGTACCTATTTATCTACTTGCACTTTGACGTGCTTTTGAACTGCTAGGTTGGCAGGAGCAGGGACAGAGCAACGGTAGCTCACCCCGTCACAGGGATTCCAACCGCCAACCTTCTGATTGGCAAATCCTAGGCTCTGTGGTTTAACCCACAGCGCCACCCGTGCCCCTGTCACAAATCTTAGCCAAGATTAATGCTATGAAGGTTCTATCTTAAATAAACTTTGAAACCAAGGTCTAAAGCAGATTTCAAATCCTGTTTCGTATGGGCCTAAAGTTGAAGTAGGGAATTATAGAGAGAGAACACTCAGTCCCACTGCATTATTTTTATCCCCCATCCCCTTTGCTTCTTAGGCTGATGTACATGGTTCTCCCCGACCCCATTTTATCCTCACAGCAACTCAGTGATACGGACACAGAGATGGTGACTAGCTCAAAGCTTCACAGCAGAGGAGGAAATGAACCTGGGATTCCTGAGGCCAAAACTGATACTTGATCTAGGTTTACTTCTACACCAACTCCCAAAGTACAGATAAACAGCAGAAATTTAAAGCTGCAAGCTCAAAGAGTTTAAATATTAATTAACTATAGCTGTAGTTGATTCATTGCTAGGGCAAATTTTAATTTTTGTACCTTAAAGTTAGCAGGCATGTTTTGCAGGGGGACAGGTTTTGGTTTGGATTGGTTACTCTAACAGAAAATAAACAAATATTAAATATGTCTTTTCCTTCAAGCAAGTGGCAGGTTTGGTTTAGGTTCTCAAAGTTCCTTCAGTATTCCTGAAATGAATATTTGTTAAAGTTTTGGTAGCAATGAGACATATGCATGATCAATCAATTGATTATCTAACTTTTAGCTTGATCTATCAACTAAAAATATTCAGTTGAAAGCTCTACAAAATGTTATTTCTTTTGTACTTACTAATAGCTGAGCAAGATCTGCATGTGCAGCTTCTAATCTGCGTTGGCAATCAGGAATCATCATTCGAGATTCTTGCAAGACCTCAATCTGCAAAATGGAAGTTCATTAAGTATATGAACTATTCAATTTTAGTATACAACTCTACTGTTTAGCTGCTTAAAATAATGCAAACCTATTGAAGTTACTCTATATACAATAATTTTTTTAAAAGTACTCAGTAATACTTTTTAAAACCAAAGCAAGATCTGCTAAAAAGCTTTCCATGAAATATTTGTTTTTAAAAACTATTTAATATAAACTATTTCCCCTGCTGTCAAAAACAGCTTCGTCCAAAATGGGATCAGCTGGTTATATAAATATCTCCTGCATCTTTTTGGTAATAAATAAAAACAGTGTTCAGATAATACCACACAGAGATAATTACTGCATGAAAAAAGTTATTGAGTTATTGATCACATTGTATGCTCACTGCAGGAGGTTCTGACTAAAAGACAAAGGTAAAGTAAAATGAAAACCAAAGACCAGCAGGCTCATATTTTTGATGCTTATCATGCATAAAAAGTTATTACTCATTCTTGGGCTTCATTTTAGGAGAGAGATTATTCTCACCATGCTTTTTGAACAAAATTACTGGTCTGGCACCCCACTGAATTTGAACATCTTGCATACATCTACAGAAAACAATTTTGTAATTGCATACAAAATCATGGAATGTTTTTAACCCTCAAAATCATGCACTGAAAATGTGGTGTAAACAGCTAATTCTATCATGTATCCAGCCTGGATAGAAATGAAAATTAATTAACAACAATTATATGAATTTTAAGCCCTCACATGATTGTATTTAAGCAAAAGTATTAACAGAATCCAGTGTGTGCAACTGCAAGCACCTGTAGTCATGAAAAACATATGTCCACAATTTGGCTGACACGTAGACAGAGTATACGTTCTGCCTTCAGAAAACAAGCAACAACTCCAGTGACCAGAAGCTCCCATTCTGAATTTATTTTATACTGTTGTTGCTTCTTTCAACCTATAAAGCACTGTGGTACCAAAAGGAATTAAAAGTAGCTTCTTAATAGCCACTAGACCAAGGTATCTCAAACAATGTCCCATTGAGCTTCCAACTATGAAAACCAGAACAGATTTCAAGATCCACATGTAGCTGTGGACCAAAGTATGCAAAATGTAAGAGATCCATGATCAGAATCATCTGTTTTTCTTTCTTTCAACACAACCACTTTCAATGCTGGGGATACAACAGTGACAGATGGGGTTCTTCCTACACTATTTGTTGGCTCTCATCCAGTCCATTACAGAAGCAAGACAGCAGTCCAGTGCATCCACTGTCACACTGGTAGATGTAAAGTAGAAATAGAGCTGTGTGCCATTAGCATATGCTGATAGCGTACAGTGGTACCTTGGGTTACAGACGCTTCAGGTTACAAACTCTGCTAACCCAGAAATAGTACCTTGGGTTAAGAACTTTCCTTCAGGATGAGAACATAAATCGCACAGCAGCAGCGGGAGGCCCCATTAGCTAAAGTGGTACCTCAGGTTAAGAACAATTTCAGGTTAAGAACGGACCTCCAGAACGAATTAAGTTCTTAACCCAAGATACCACTGTACTCCAAAACTCTGGATGATCCCACTCAGCAGTTTCATGTAGATGTTGAGGGATAAAATTGAACCCTGAGGAACCCAACACTGAAGGCTTCAAAGGGCTGAAGAGCAGTCCCCAAGCATCACCCTCTGGAAACAACCAATCAAGTAGGACCGGAACCACTGCAAAGCAGTGCCACCTACCCATCCACACCCTCGAGCTTTACTAACTAAAACTCAGAACAGGACTGGACCAAGCTCTGGACACCCCTTGAGATTAATCTGCTGTGGATATGAGCGATCTTATCTTCAAAAAGCTTTGCAACCAAGTAACAGCTACCATCAGTTCTGCCACCTCTTTCAGGTCAGATGGTAAGAAGCCCTGCACTAACCAGAAAAGCTCTGCTGGACAGCACAATGAGGATGCAATGGGGGCAGCAAAGTATGCCTTCTTTGGTGCCTTTCCTGCCACTAGGTAGGCTCAATGATGAGCCTTCACCAGTATTTGACTGCATTCAATCAGATATTTCTTCTAGTTGTGTTTGAGTGGTCTTCCAACTTGTTTCCTTGCCCTATGCTTTGGAGTATACGAGGAAACCAAACAGACTACACGTTTGTAGGGTGCTCAGGGGCAATCGTGTCAGTGGCCCAAGCCATTTGCATGTTCCTGAGGTTGGCCAGGGCTTTGACAGGAGTGCCACTCAAAGCATCTAAAAATTTCCCCAGAGTCCTCTGGAAACTCATTGGATCCATCAGCCTCTAAGGGCAAACCACCCTAATAGGTTCCCCATCTCTGCAAAGGGGAAAAGGTGCTGAAAGCCTAAACCTCAACAGGAACTGATATTACTATGATAAGGGAATAATGTCAATATCCCCCCCCTTCAGATCACCCTCTTCCTGTCCAGTTGAGAAAACAAGGTCCAGATTGTGGCCTGCCAATGCATTGGGCTGGTGTCATGTTGGGACAGGCCCTATGAAGTCCTGAAAAGATTGCCTGGAAAGAGATGGAATATCTACAGACTACAGCAATACCCACCCCCAAAACAAATGCTCAAGTCTGCCCTGATGCTGCATCAACTCCACCCTGCTCACCGACCCAGGTCTCAGTGAAACAGACTAGATCAACCTCCTCATTCATAATCAGATCATGGATGAGGGAGGCCTTACTCAGAGCTGACCTGCCTTTCAGCAACAGCATCTGCAGACCCAAGGGCTGACTGATAGGACAACTGCAATTCCACAGGTTGGAGGAGGGGCTGGCACATGGCATAGTCACAAACTGCCAGTGTCATGCACTGTGTGGGAAGGCAACATTTCTAATCCTTGAAACCTGTTACAGAGCACCAATGACCAGTTATTTCACCCCAATGCTTATTTCGTTACTATTTCTGCAAACCATTAATATTTCTAGAATTAACTATGTAGGCAATCATTTTTACACCCAAAGTGAAGATACACAGTCCAGACTGCAGGCAGGTGAGAGGAAGTTTAACTCCTTTCCCTGGGGCCTCAACTTGGAGACTTCTAGTATAGCACTAAATATTCTTTTTATATGTCCACAAACACTAATTTTAAACATTTTTTTTAAAAAAACCCTACACACAATACTTTTCAGTTAAAAATAACAACTGATAACATATATTCATGAACTATGAAGTTGTTTACCTGTTTTTTAATGGCATAATTTTCAGAATCTTCAGCTTTCATTTTCTCAATCTTTTCTTCTTGCTGTTTTGCTTCTTTTTCATACATAACCTTTTCTTTTGCCAAGCTGCATACAAAAATAATGAATTAACTTTTCCATTATAAAAGCTAATACAAGTTTTCCTAACTGAAAGGTTACACACATAATTTCAAAATATCATCATCATTCCATGTTCTATTATTCATTACATTTTATTTTAATCGTATATTGATTGATACACCATATATAGCTTGGGATTCAAAGATCTGCTCAGGCTCAAGAGCAAGGCTTGATCAGTGCAAAGCTGGCTTTTATTTCTTTTGAAAACTGCCATTTATGTCGTATCACAAACTGCTTTTGAATAATCCTCAATTAAAAAAAAAAGGTCACCACACACCATGGGGGTCTGTTAAAGTCTGAAGCCCACTTTGTCTCCTGTGGCAATTCTTTGGATGCCAGCCATTGTTTTCCTATCTGATATTCCTCACTTCCACATACCCCAAATGCAGAATATGAATGTCTGGATTTGACTGAAAGTATCTAGCAGCCACAACTGAAATAATGCTTGTTTGTAGATCTTGAAGTTTAGGGGAAGAAGGTCTTCTACCAGTGATTGTACTTACAGTCCTTTTTGGTTATTCAGGCTCACAACTTTGGTATGATCTAAATTCACTGCTGAACCTAGTTGCCCAGGTTATAACAGTGATCAGAAGACTTTCCACCAACTTTACCTAGTAAAACTGCATCTTGGTTGACCTTGCAACAATAATATGTATCTTTTAGTTTTGAGGCTTGATTACTTATGTGCTCTGGTATGAGACTTTCCCTGAGGACAGTCAAAGTGATGTGGCATATTTTTAATGGAGGGTGGCAAGCAGGAACACACACAATAGAATTCCAGGGTCTGTCCTAGTCTTTCATACTCAATGTGCCAAAGACCAAAATACCAAGCTCAAAATGCTTAAGACAATGCCTCCAATCCTATGTTCAATCATAGCCTCAAGAAGGAGCATCCTCTTCTAACAACACCATCTTTGTGGCAAAGGATATTTAGACAGCTGGTCCTTGAGGAAGGAAGGCCCAATCACACAAGCCTTACCAAAACCAATTTTCTACAAGCAATGTATGACTAGAATTTCATCTGGTTTCTGATAGCCAGAGGATTGGGGAAGAGAGAGATTCCAGTATTGTTAATAATCAAACTCTGCAGAATGGGCTAACTCTATGAGTCTACAACAGTAGATTCTATGTAGACACCAATAGAGGTTATTCACTGAACCATGATAATGAAAACAATGTAGTATTGCTGTCTTACTGCTGCCAA